GTCCAACCTCCACTTCTGAGATTATTTCACTTTATTTATTTATGTATTTATTTTTTTAAAACATATTTAGTACACAGTCCACAGGATCTCACTACACAGATCGGACTTGTACTGATCCTTCTGTTTTCAGCCTCCCAAGTGCTGGGATTACAGGCACACACAGCCCGCCCAATCTCAATCACTATCTCAGTGTGCCCCAGGGGCGAGGCTGGTACAGCACACTGGGGTTTGAACTTCAGCCCTCGCATCTGCCTAAGCAGACACTTTAGTTCACAGAGCTGTCTGTCCAGCCCTTAACCTCCACTTCTGGATTGCCACTTGGTCAAGGGCCTTACAGTCCCACTTCAGCCTAGTTCCTGGGTGGCCGCCAGCTCTGTCAGAAAACTTCCCTGTCTTCCTCTCTTCCAGTCCTCTCCACTCTTTGTCTTTTTGAAACAGTCTTACTACGCAGGTCAGCTGGCCTTGAACTTACTAGATCACCCAGACTGGCCTCAAATTTGCAATGATTGTCCTGCCTCAGCCTCCCAAATGCTGGGCTCACAGGTGTGCGCCACTATGTCCTGCCCTCTACCCTCTTTTGGTGTGGTCCTAGGGAATCAAACCCAAGGGCACTCTATCACTAAGTGTGAGTGCCCTCTCCAAACATACACTCTGCTTTTAAAAGGCAGGGTCTTTGGGCCAGGGGAAATGGCTCAGTGGAATAAGCGCTTCCCTGGTAAGCACAAGAGCCTGAGTTCAATTCCTGGTTCCACAAAATAAATAAAAATAAAAGGCAGGGTCTTGTGAAACTGTCTAAGCAGGACTAAAGTTTGTGCTTGTCCTGTCTCTGCCTGGAATTATAGGCACGGAACCAAGGCTCATAACCAGCCACTTCCCTCCTCAAGGGAGACTTTTCTCCCAGTCCATGGTTGCTCTTCCCCATCTAAGTCCAGCTTCTGCTCTCCCTCATGTCCCCTTCTTGGCTCCAGCACTGGACCCAGCCAGCAGTGAGAACCAGAGAAAGAGGTTGGGCGGGGCCCAGGCCCATGCTGTGAGCAGTGCTCAGCAATAATTCACTCCCACTCCCAAGGAGGCCACAGGCATGACGCCCACAGTCAGAGCCCATGTGGAGAAGCCACGGGGTGGAGGCCGGGGCACACAGCAGGTACTCAGGCTCCAGGCCCACCCATGCCAGCGCCTCTCCCCTGCTCTTTACAAAAGAAGGGCTCGGATGTGGGCTGGAACCAGTGAGCCAGTGAGAGATGGAGGAGGCCACAGGTTGCAGCAAGCAAGAGGTCAGAGAGGAAGAACCGGACCACAGCGCCTCCTGGCTCCCTCTGGCTCTTCATGACTGCTCAGCCTCTTGCCTGGGCTCTGCGCCTTCTCCTAAAGGATTCCCAAATCTCCTGGGTCCCAAAGTTTTGGAAGCGTGGGGCTGCGTTAGCTGCTGCAGAGTTCCACAAAGATCCCCACCACAGAGGCCTACGACCTCAGAAGCTCTTCCGGGAGCCATCCATCCCCAGCCCACCTCAGCCCCAGCCTCCCTGGCAACCTCTGATGTTACAGACCTTACAGGTAGCGGTAGTGATGGAGGTGGGGGTTGCAATCGAGAATTCTAAAGTCTTAGGAGCTTGGCAAGAGCAGTCGTCTGCCTCTAACAGGGTGAGAAAGTGTAAAGTCCAGCCCCCTGGGGATTTTGTCTTCCATACTTTCTTTTACTGGGGGTAGACCTAGAGTTCTGCTCGAATTCCAGCCTCATCCCTACTCCATTTCATTCTGTTTTGGGGTGTGTGTGTGTGTGTGTGTGTGTGTGTGTGTGTGTTAGGGAAAGGTCCACAAGGTGTTCAGGGTCTCACTACTAGATTGGACTCTTAGTGATCTGCCTGTTTACAGCCTCCCAAGAGCTGGGATTACAGGTACCCATCATGCCCACGCCCCAGAGGGGGGTGGGACTGGAACGCCCACTTGGCCCTTGGCCTGCTTACAGGCGCTTTAATCAGCTGAGCTATTTGGCCCACCCAGTTATTTGGCCAGCCCCCAATCTATTCTGTGCAATTGGAATCAACATATACAATGTATACAATGGAGCCAATGGATAAGATCTAAGACTAAAACAAACAAGCACCTACTATGTGTCAGGCTAAACCAGAGTACAGGCAGCACCTCCTCAGCCCTTGCACATCCCCTCCTTCACAGATAAGAGGAAGCCCCACTCCACCAGACAGTCACACTGTCTGCCCCACATGGGCCACTGGAAGCCAGTGCACTCGCCAGGCCCTCCAGAGGCTTGGTTGTGGGAAGGAGGGTGCAGTCTTTCTGGGCACTGTCAGCAAGAAACTCTTCAGACATATTTATAGTAAATGCTACATCAGGGGCTGGAGCCTGAAAGTGCCTTGGAGCATCAAATAACACCCTGGGCCCAGAGGCTGAGGTCAGAGAAAGAAGATAGAGATTGAGGTTGATGTCAGAACTTCCCCAGAGTAATATCTGGAGTTGGCAATGGGGATTCCCTGTGGGAGGTACTTCCGCAGAATTTTCTCAGAAGAGAAGGCTTAGGCATCTTTTCTGGGCCTGGTAGGATAGGTGCAAAGGAATGGACATACAGTAGCGATCTCTGTCCTGGTGGTGCACAGATTTTCAAGTGCCAGACCCCCAGAGCAGTCACACAAGGGAGGCTGAAGTCCAGCTGGGCATCAGTAGGGCAGCCTCCAGACGCAGAGTTACCTCTGCCCCGAGAGTGAGGAGTGGGGGGCAGAGCCAGCTGGGGCCCTGCCTAATCTCCTGAACTCTGCAACCTGGGTGCCTGGCAGCTGAGTAGGAGGTAAGGTGAGCTGCTCCCAGGAAGAAGCTGTGGGGAGTTATATGTCAGAGCCCAGGGTCTGAGAGGCCAAGGGAAGGAGGGCAGAGATGCCAGGAAGATGTTCGTGCTAGAGGCCTCTTAGCACACCCTGCTAGGAGACTGTGAGGGCAGAGCTGGAGAAGGGGACTAGGAGTTTGCGTGGGCACAAAGAGGCAAATGCTCCTGGGCAGCTTCCAGAGCGAGAGAGCAGAGGGGCCATCATCTCACTGGAAAGGTTTGGGGTGGACAGCAGGCTCCAGCTCTGGTTCTGAGGTTCCTACCTTGTCTGCACAGCAGACGGAGAAAGGGTTTGTGGTCCAGCAGCTGGGGTGGGAATGAGAAAAAGTGGATGTAGAACTGCCCTAGGCACCTCGGATCCCCTCTGATAGGCTCAGGGAGAAGTAATTGATATTTCTATTTTTAAAAGGTGAAGATTTTTCTAGGCTGTAGGTTCAGGCAGGGGGGTAGAGAAGGGGAGGCAAAGGGAGGCAGGGACAATTGCTTCTCCTAGGGAAACTCAAGCTGCCCCAAGGCCCAAAGGAGCGCTCCATTAGCTGTGGTCAGCAGGGGGGGGGCTTTCTCCCTCCAGGTCTTAGTGCCAAATGAAAGGCAAGGCCTGTGCTCTCTCCATTAGAGCTGCGAACAAAACTGAAGAGCACAAAAACATCCACTCATACAGTAAACGCACAGGACCTCTTTGTGTCTTCTAAAGGCCTGAAGCTGAGTAACTTGGGGGTAAGAGGGCGCTGAGAGATCCAGGACCCGTGGACTGGACCACGGGGGGAGGGGAGTGCGACCTCCCAGACACTTTCCAGGCCAAACCTGCCTAGGACCTAGGACAGAATTGGGTGGAGTCTCCCCATCTAGCTCCCCCCAGAATGTCAGCTGAACAGAGCGGGAAGAGATTCTCTGGGAATGGAGGAGGGAACCCCCCCCCCCAAGAAGCTCTTCAAAAGAAGAGCTGGGAAAAGTAGTTTCAGACGGTGCTGAGGTCACCGGGTCGCAGGTCCATCCCCTGGACAGCCTGTCGCCCCTGCCCCGGCCGCCCTCTCTGATACACGTGGAGACGGATCCAGCCTAAGCACTGGGGTACGGAGGGGGCCAATGAGAGACTGGACGGCTCGGAAGGTGCGGGGAGAGTGGCGAGCCCCACCTTAGCCCCGATCCCCCCACCTCCCGCCGGGACTTGGGCTTGTCCTGTTTGACGTGCCGGGAGGACTGGAGAGGTACTGGTCCAGAAGCGGTCGGACTCCGCACTCGATGCTGCCCGGTACTGGCTGGGGCGCTGAGCTGCCAAGTGGGGCGCCCCGAGATGAGCATGGAGGTAGGACCGGCAGGGGTTGAGGGACACGGACCCCTCCAATTAGTCTCATGGGGTGGGGAGAGAGTGCCGCCTGGGGTCCCCTCCTGAAGGGCTGGAGGTGGGACTCGAGTCCCGGAGGTCAGCATAAAGCTTAGTCCGGGTGTGGGGGTCTGAGTCCCTGCTGTGCCCGGCTAAGGCAGCGCCTCCTACTGGCCGGAGTCCGGACCCGGGCAGCTGCGGCCACCTGCAAGGCGCGCGCGGCCACCGGCTGGAAGCCCCCGCGGCGCCGCCGAGGGCGGGGAGTCGCTGCACTTCGCCACATCCTTGTGCACTCCGAGCGGAGACCAGCGGCGCCAGACCTAGGGCGGGGATGGCCCTAGCGAGTCCAGGTGCAGGGCGCGTTTCGGCCCCGCGAGAAGCACAGGGTGGGCGGACCCGTGCACCACACCCGGGGAACGGGCACCGCACCCGAGCCCCCTGTCCTTTGCTCCGCCGAGGTCGGGGCCCGGCCGCCGCGGGGCCCGCGCGCTTCTCCTAGGTGTGGGCCAGGCGCGGGGCGCACGGAGCGCGCTGGGCAAGGGGAGCTTCCCCGTGATCAGTCCCCTCCCGGCCGGGGCCTGCGGCGACCGCGGAAGGGAGTCCCTGCCTCCTTCCGGGGCCGAGGGTGGGGACCCGCGGGAGCGAGGCGGAGGTGTGGTGGGGACCGTGGGAGGCACTCGAGGAGTGGAGCAGGAATCGCGAAAGGAAAGACGAAAGCAGAGAGGGCTAGACCGAAGGCAAGGCACACAGAGGGTGGCTGATGGAGGCGGCGAGAAGGGGAGGAGGGAGGAGAAAAGGGGAGGAACCTGGAGCCGGGCGGGAGCGGGCGGCGCCGGCGGGCGCGGGGCGAGGCCGGGCGTGCGGACGGGCGCGTGTGCAGAGCCGAGGCCGGTCCGCCCCGCCTCGGAGCCCTGGGCCCGGGTGGGGAGAATCGCTAGCCCGGTCTATGTCTTTTTCTGACTCCAGTGCAACCTTCCTGCTGAACGAGGTAACCGCGAGGCGGTGGGCTCCTCAGTGGGTGGGAAAAGAACTCTGCTCCGAGCCCCCGGCCGGCAGTGGGGGACGCTGCAGAATGGGGGGGAACCGAGGTGGTGAGGCCAAGGGTGGGAGGGGCCTTGGCCTGGAGCCCCCCCCCCGTAAGCAGATGGGAGGGGAGGGAGAACCGACTGAAGAGTCAGAACTGGGCTGGGGTTAAGAGGGCTGTGCCAAGCTCCTGCGGTGCCTGCCTCTGAATGCCTTGGGGTCGGCCTCACAACTACCAGCGCTGGCCTCCACCCGGTTCAGAGCTCCTAGCTCTGGCCTCAGTTTCCCCCGTTCAGTGCCCAGGAACTGGGACCTGCCCGACTTCCTGGTGGATAGAATATATTTTAGAGGCTCTCACCAACTCTTAACTCCCTAATACCGTTAATTAAGCATTTGCTCTTAAGCCCTTCTGTGTGACTGCACTGGCATGGGTAGGCAGGTGTGGGTGAGGTGAGAGATGAAAGAGGCCTTGGGTAGTAACGCAGAGATTGGGGCGGAGGGGATCCTCCCAAGCACCTGCAGGACCCAGGGGATGGCCTCAGGAATGAGGAAATAGAAACCCATCTCTTGAGGGTGGTTGGCATGGCAACTCAGGCCTCAGAGCAGACCTGGACAACATTGTCCCAGCAGGGGATGAAGACAACTAGATGTGTGAGGAAGAAGTGCGGTTGATGGCAGGTCCACTGTCACCTGCCCTCCCCACACCTGCTGTAGCTGGGGAGAGTCTTAAAAGGAAAGGCTAAGAGGGTAGATGCAGAGATGGGAGAGAATCCTTAGAACCGCCACACTTCTCTCTGGGCTGGAGGAAGGGAAGGAATTGAGAAAAGATGAGCAAGGCGGATACAGGGAATACCAAGGAACTGGGAAAGGGCATAGAAGTGTGAAGACGGTGTATCAGGACTTCCAGTGCAGTCACAGGACTTCCAAAGACACAGTTTTGTGCCGGTTTCAGCGGAGAAAGGTACTGAGCAAGGCTGCACTGGCCCACCCCTGTGGGTAGGCAGACTAAGGACAGTGTGAAGACCAGGCCCCTTTTCTCTTGCCAGGGGAATGGGAAGAAGTGGCCCAGGAGAGCCAGGCCAGTTGGTGTGGGTGGACTGTGCTTTCCATCATAGATTTCATCAAACCCTTTCCAAGCTTGGCTTTGATTTCCCTCCGGCCCAGCATGGTAAAGAGGTGAGCAGACTTTTTAACTAGCCTGCGTGGAAGAAATTGGGAACAGAAAAGGGCTTAGTTTAGGAGCAATAGCAGAGACAAAAGTGCAGGACCCAGGTGTAACCCATGTGTGTCTCACGCCCTTGGGCGTGTGGGTGGGTATTCAAAATGTGCAGCAATCATTTTGCTTAGGTGAAGAGAGGTGCTAGATCTTTGGAGGAAGTTTCTTCAGAATAAAGGGCACTACTCTTTCAAATCTCAGGGCCCCCTTAGCGACTGAGTAATGCAGAGTGGTGGTTCTGAGGCTGGAAGCAGGGTACTGCCCACCCCACCCCTGGCCTTTTGCAGAGGAAGACTTGCTGCTCTTTCCTCCTTCCAACTCCAGTGTGCCCAGACTCCAGCTTCCGTTAGAATTACACACACACACACACACACACACACACACACACACACTTCCACCCTAGTTTCTTCTCCTCTCCCTTATGTTAACCTAAAACACCCAAGTTCTGCCCAGATCCCACGGATGCCTTAGCAATGTCTGACACAACCCTTAGCAGGGAACCTGGCCAGACTGGGGTGCAATCTGTCCGTGCAACAGGTGCGGGAGGCCTCCCCAACTCACCGAAACTCACCCCTTGGCATGGCAAGGCGAAGCTGCCCTTTGCGGCAGCCCAGTGCCAGGGGCCGGCACCTGCTGGGCCCCTTCCTGGCGCTCGCCGGGGGTTGCCAAGCAAGCGCCTGCTTCCGCAGCACCGCGGCGGGGCGTCTCTGAGGCTCTCGGGTCCCGGGTCCCACGCCCCCGCCCCCGTCTCGCCCCGGCCCTCCCGGCCCCGCCCGC